TTAAATTATTAGTTGAGATTATACCCGAAAATAAGCAACCTTATAGCAAAAAAGTGGTGCTTATTTTCGGAGGAATACGGTATTGGTATTTTAAAGTTGGTGTTCTTGTATTCTGTTTTATACTTGTTCTTTTTTCCAAATCTCATCCTAGGATCTTTCACTAGTTATCCAGTTAATAGTATAACCAAAGAATGTACAACTAGTACAGCTCTAGTGACCTGGTGACTAGGCAAGTACTTTTAGTTGGGTATGATCTTGCTGTGCCTTGTCCATTTTAAGCATATTCCAAGTTGCTTGCCAACTTTACTCTATATCAGGAAATCTCATTCAATTTAGTAGTAGTATGAGTGCCAGAGGTGTTTCAAATCTGGTAAAGCCAATTCTTTATCACAGGTCTCTTTGTATTCACCACATTTTTCATCACATTCAATTCTAGTTACCATCTAGTCATCTTCCCAAACAAGATTCCCAATGCCATCTTAGGGGTTGTTGGTGCTATCTTGCTAATTGCAAATTTACATGCACAACCTTTATATAATAGAACCTTTTGTAACGGCCTCTGTTATACATAGTGCCAACTACTCCACAATGGACCTCTTTTTGGAAATTCCTAATCCAGACCTGTATTCACTTGGACTTCTTATAGCAGATACTTCCAAATATTTGTAGATAAATATACCTACTAAGACTTGAATCCGAAACCTGCTCATGGAGAGTTGGGTGCCTAGACCACTAGGTTGTGGGATTCCAACCCACAATTAGTATTTAGTATTAGGGGTGTAGATTAGTAAAAATAATAAAAGGATTGAAAGAAATATACTTATACTCTAGCTTGTTTAATAAATTTTCTTTCTGGATTTTATAATAGCTTTTGCCTTATTATTACAACATTATTTAATAAAAAGTTTTGTAGACCAATTTTAGTCTATTAAAGATTTTTAGAAATATTAATACTTGTATAGCTTCTTTGATTAAATTTTAATTGATTAAGTAAGCTTTTACCCTTTAAATAACATAATCTATTAGAAGGAACCATCGACTATATCTTAGCTTTAAATTAAAATTCTTTAATATGATCATCAATATCTCTATTTCTATTTGTCTATCTTGTAAGGCAACTATATATTCACTTAAAATAATTCATATTCAATTTGACCAGATTGATAAAAATCTATCACCACTCTTTGGAATATTATTTAATTTATTAAAAGAAATCCACTTAATTATATGTTTACAAGATGTAGCTTTATAAAGCTGAAATTCTTTAATATAATTATTGACATCTCTATTTCTATATTATCATCTTTTTAATCTATTTCATCTAGCCAACAAGTGATAATTTCATTAATTTTTATTGCAGTAGGTTGTTTATCAAAATCTTTGTCTAACCATTTTGTAACTAATTTAATATAACAATCTGGTTCTAAATATTTAGACCTTAATCTACTTGTCTATTTGTGTTGTTTTCTAAAACAACTATTCTATTTAATCAGATCACTAATAATTTATTACCTTTTCTTTAAATTCATTTAGCTTATTAGAATTCACACGATTATAATATATAAAATAGGACTTAAATTGAAATTCTTTAATACAAACATCGGTATTCTTATTTTTACCTGTCTATATTATATTGTCTTCTAAAGTAGGTTCATATCATTTGTCTGACAACAATTTGCTCAACAACTATTTATTTAATAATATTTTCAAAAATACTATTAGAAAATAGCTGTTGGGCAAATTGTTGTCAGGCAAATAACATAAACTATTTTTGATGTGTTTTTTAAAAGTTACATATAATTTATTTGTGTTAGATTGGTTGCAATCAATCAAATTTAAGTAGGCTATAATAAAAATATTCCTATAAACACAAATGTTTGCTTTAAACACTTCAATTTAAGTAGCTAAATTAATATAAAATAGTAAAATTAATAACTTATTTTAAATACTGTACATCAAGTAATAAATATTTTCTACACTTGCTAATTAAATTAATCCGAATTTATTTACCCAAGTCAAAATAATAGTAATAGTGAACTATAACAAAACAAACTTACTTGAATGATAACAACTTTTCTCTATTATGTTGTAGAGCCGAAAGTGTAATTGTTAATGTTTTATTAATCGATGTTGTAAACTCTAAATCACCAATATAAGCATTATATAAATCATTTGAAATATATTATTACTATGCAAATTACAATAAATAATATTATTAGAATGAATTAACTAAAGGTCAAATGTGATATAAGATAACTATAAGATTACCTGATTTTGCTATAATTAGAAATATAATACTATACCTTATGATTTGCTGCATAACTATTCAGAAGTAAAACTTCCAAACTAATAAAACTTTTGATACGATATAAAGAATAAAACTTTGGTATCTAAATAGTTTATTTAAATACTTGGTAAATAAATATGTTTTACTTTTATTAACACTTAATTAGCTTATTTATTGTGTATTACTTGCTTAAATTCACTTCTAAGTATGGGTTAAAAAAAATTTTATTGTGTAAAACCACAGGTTGTCAATTGATGATGTGGTTTTTTATAATAAGAGTTATTGTAAAAATTTTTATTTATATTGTATAACTCAGAGAACTTCAAGCTAATCAAATCGAATATCTGCTATGCTCTGCTTTCATATAATGTTTAAAAACCTTCTCTTCATTTTTTGAATTTATCTTTTGCAGCTTAAACTAAAATATCGTACAAGTTCTTTCACTAATATTGTGCAATACTGTTTGTAGCTCCTGACAAGATGTTGATTGGTTCATTCTACAAGTTTTGTTTGGTGTATCTCAACTTTTTATTTTGTTATTAGGGAGCTGACAATTATCAGGTGATTTTCTAGAGAGAGGGAGGTCAAAAAATTGGAATTTTATATATAAGACCTGATAATTTATATATTAAAAACTAGAGAGGGGGTAAGGCTCTGATAAAAAAAAATCAGGTGATAAATAACACTGCCCTTACTATTTTTTTTTGTTGTCTAATTAAACCCCATCAACCTTTTCATATTCACCAAGAACACACAACAATATTTATAGTAAGCAAGACTTTTGTTTTACACAAGTTCTTCTGTTACATCTATAATTGACTATAAGCTAAAAAGTGACTACAAGTCAAAAACAAGATATCAATATCTCGATACAAAGGTATTGATTACAGTGTTTTATAAAATACTCTTTTTCTGTGTATAAGAAAACAAAGGTACTTCCTCATGTGCCCCTACCACATGAGATTTGTAACCATCTATAATTAAGTTATATTCTTTTGTAAATAAAAAGATTCTTTATATACTTAATATTCGACTCTAGATTAATTATATTATAATTAATCATATAATACTTAATCTTTACTTCAATTACTTAATTAATCTGATATTTATCTTTCTTAATCTCATATTTTTTATATGTCTTAATCGATTCTTGATTGATCATAGTTATATATATTAAACTATCTACTAGCAAACCTGAACCAGACTATTTATACAAATTTTAATAATGCTATAGATCTTGTTATATGAGTTCTGGTACCAAATTTTGCTATAAAACCGATTTTGGCTATGACAATACTTCGTATAGTTCTCTGATCCTGACCTTTAAACATACTTTTAATATCCAATATTATATTACAATTTACAACATTTTTTAATAAAAATGAATATTTAACTCTAATTTCATTCTACTAGTAATATATTTCATTGGTGTTTTTTGTAGATTTTAATATCTTGTATTTATATTTATAGTTATATTATTGTATTCACATGAGCTTGATAATAAATATGTACCTTGTGTCCATTTTTTTTTAACTCTAATCTTATTTTGATAATGATAAAAATATTGATTTTAAATTTCTTGTATAGTATGTATGCCTTACACAATATAATATTTTATACTAAATAATATTGTATATAATTAAATATAAATATTACTAATATAAGACATACTGCTTATCAACAGACAAATATTTTATATGTACTTACGAATTATTTATTTATACTAACTTTTAGTAACGAGTGAATTCATCTTTTTTGATAATGATATCTAACATTGTACATATATTTGCAGATTTTTGATAATAAATAATAGTATCAGTTTTAAAACTAACAATTAGTTTACTTTAAATAAAAAAAAATAAATTTAAAAATAAATAAAATAAAATAAATAAATAAAAATATAAAATGAATGAAAAGCAAGATAAGCAGTTCTCTAGTCATATCTTTATATATACTTTTATATAGAATTATAAAATATATAAAGTTGAGTCATACTATAATAAAAAAAAAAATCAACTGCTGTATAAATAAATAATTAGTAAATAATTAGAATAAAAAAGTTAAGATATGGGCTGCTATCAATAGAAATCAAGCAAATTGATATTTAATCTCTTAACTTTTACAACTTATATTTTGATAAATTTTGAAACTATCTTGACAAATTAATATTCAAAAGAAAGTTTAGATTTAAAGCTTTCTTTTGAATATTAATTCATCAAGATAACTTTAAAATTCATTGAGATATAAGTTGTGAAAGTTAAGAGATTAAATATCAATTTAATTAATACCAAATACTTAAATTAATACTGTAATAGTGACATAAAAATTAATGCAACACTTTTATTACTTTTTTTACTATATTTTTTTTAATAAATTTATAATATGATATACTGTATAAACAATATTGCAATTTTTTTAAAAAGTTATTTTATTAAGTATTTTATTAAATATTATTTCTTAATATATTATATAAAAATATGAATTTTATTAAAGTTTATTAAATCAAATTTACTAACTTATAAAAAATAAAAATATATAAAAAATTGAGATATTTAGCTTTAGAGATTAAATCTTTTACTAGTCCCAACTACTATATAGAGATGTATCTTGTTGTTGGGAAGGTGAACCCCAACTCATCTTTCACTAATACTCAGTTCCCAGTCAAACAAGTTGTTTTTAAATTTAACTTAATTTATTCTCTAGAGTTTGAAAAAATAAATAAAAAAAAACTCCTTATACCAAAAAAAAAATGTGAAAACCTCATCCAAACTACTATCAAAACCACTATCAAAACTACCATCAATCATCAAACCACTATTGAAACCACTATTAACCATTAAACCACTATCTAAACCATCATCAAACCACTATCTAATTTACTATCGAATTCACTATTACCATCAAACCACTATTGAATCTACTATCAACCATCAAACTACTATCAAATCCACCAAAACCACCATTGAATCCACTATCAAAACCACCATTGAAACCACCATCAAAACCACTATTGAATTCACTATTAAACCACTATTAATAAAAACAAAGTATAAAATATAACTATAACAATAAAGAAGAGAAGTAAAAATGATATTAAAGATAAAAATTTAATGTAAGTAAAATTTGTAAGATTCTTATATTTCTTTAAACACATATGGGCTCTTCCACAGCAAATCGGGGCTTAGAGACAAACTAACGGAAATTGAGATTTTTATTGGATTGTATTCGCAAGTGTGTGACTTATTCGTAGTAAAAATTTTAACATATGTTGACATATTATAATTTGGCACAGTTCTATACACAGTAGTTTTTGCATACGATAATTTTCTGTTCTAATTTTAGATTGCTGCATGATTCATATTATGTATTGCTGTCAGCTATATTACCACATGATCATGTACATTATGATCTTTTTTACTTAATTGTAGTAAAGAGTTTTCATTTAACCGGTGAAGTAGCCTCAGAATTCCAAACTTCTGGATATCAAATTATCATAAACCTTATTTTATGGTGTACTCAAAATGAAGAATAGCAAAAAAACAGTTGATTAAAAGAGAGCACATAAGAAAAAAAAAAAAAGTACGTATAGTATTAAACTTTTTTGTGAGATCTATGTTTAATATTAATTTTATGTTTTACTAATTAGTTTTCATTCCAGCATGAATAAAACTATAATTTCAAGCTGGATTGATCGAAAAAATAATAACTATAATACATATCTCATAGACCCTATAAGTTTAAGGGTATAGTGTAATACAATATAAATATAAATGACAAATTATTTGTTGTACATACAAAAATCGGCAGTTTTTATAAACAAGTTAGAAATAATTTTAAAAATTAAATTAAAT